CAATAGCAGAAACTACTTCATAGGGTTTTGAAAACCGAGTATGTGGAAAGTCCCTGGAACAAAAAATTCACTGCTGTTGAGTTGATTCCAGCGCACAGTGACCCAGTAGGGCAGAGTAGAAGGACCTCACAGGGTTTCCAAGGCTGTACACTTCCTCTACAGAGCAGACTGCCCTGTCTTTCTCTCACAGTGCGGCTGGTGGGTTTGAACCACCTAGCTTTTCATTAACAGTTCAGTGACTTATGCTACAAAAGTGTGTAGCTATGTCTTCGTAATTTCTCTTTCTCCCCAAAGTTAAACACTCCTTCTTTTGTACTCCCACGACATTTATTTAAATCAAAGGATTGTAAAACTCTTTCTTCCTCACTAACAATGAGCATATCAGGGCAGGAACTTTGTCTTATTTACAGCCAGCAAAATGTATATCCCACGTTTATCTGAAATAGCTATCAATAAATGTGGAATATATTTAAGCTAATCATTCGGTAGCAGAGGGTATATAAATGCACACTAAGAAAAATGCAAACATCTGGGCCAAGTCTTGCAAGGTAAGTCCATTTGAGAAAAAAAAAACATCCCACAATGTTGAAACAGCATGCACAAGCAGGCATTAAAGAGGAGGGGTGTTTGGGAAATGACAAGTAGAAGGGTTATGCCTGGGGGTATCAGGGAGGATATATTGAGAAATGAAGCCAGGTGGAAAGGCTATTATATTGAACCCCAGCTTAAGGAGTTTGGACCTTATTCAGAAATGAATTGGGGTGTGTGTGTGTGTAAGTCCTTTTGACTACTGGTGCTATACAATTTGATCATCTTAGTTAGGTAAGAAGATGCAATGTCACAGCTTGACTGGAAAGTAGAAAGACTGAAGATATAGAGATCAATGACCAGACCTGCTAAAATCCAGGCAAGAAGCATCAGGGCTTTAACTGGAGCTATGCAAATAAAAAATAAGGTAAATATAGACAATATTTCAGAAGTGAAATCAACTGTCTTCAGTGGCTTTTTTGACGTGGGGATAATATAGGATATGATTCAGAGCTATCTTGCCTTGTGCGCCTGGGAAATGATGTCATTAATTAAGATAAGGAACACAGAGGGAGAAGCAAGGCTGGCACCCAGGAGAGCTAACTACAACCTAAGTAACTGAAAAAAATAAAATAAACATATCATCATGTCCTATCAATAAACAAATCAAAAGGTAAAATAGAATTATGCCAAAACTCTGGCATGTGCTGTTCTTGTTCAAAACACACAGACAAAATGGGTCCAGTTCAAGGGCTCATTTGTTTGTTAAAAGGTGTTACTATCCTTCATTTGGGGGGCAGGGGACCGCACAATTCTATTATGCAGAGTATGCTTGAAGAGATAAAGAAGTAGGCAATGATTTTCAGCGTTGTGCATTGTTAAATCATTTTCTTTGTTTTTCCTCAAAATGATATTTTAGGGGTTTAAGTAAAACCAATCCAGATTCTGTTCTAATCCAAGTATCATAATGTAAATTTATGGCTATTAAAACTTTTATTTAAAATTATTGACTCTAACTCTCTGTGAGGATCTGGCTCCTGAACTCATGATGGTCCCTGAAGTCATGATGGTCCCAGAGTTTTGGGATCAACAAAGCGGCAGGAACTCCTAACTTGGACTGAAGCCCCTCCAAGAAGATAGTGCCTCCGTCTGAAGTCTTATCTGGGACCTCTGGGTCAGCCTCATGGTTACTCCGCACAGTTCAAATGAAGCTTCCAACCTCTGAACAAGGAGGACTGGGAAGGACAAAGTATTCCTGGCTTTGTCTGTGCAAGAGGAACTCCTGGTCAGAGGGATTCAATGGCCCAGGCATGCATCTGGCAAGCTGATGGCCCTGCCACTGTCTCGCTTCGACTCTGCCATCTGCTCTGCCTGGAGACAGTGGATGGAGCTGGGTCTATTTCATTACCACCTGGGGGAACTGTAGACCCAAACTCTCCCCAGTGCTGTGGGGTTTGTGGCTTAGCTGAATGGAGAGTGAGGGCTACAGAGAAGACGTCCCCAGAGCATCAGGAGCGTGAGGCAGCCATTTGACCCGGGACCATTTTAACTTCAACAAGATCCAACCAGAAGAAATCCTCTTCCATTTGCACCAGGAGCCCAATCTACCCGGTGCGCTCCAGCAAGAGGATATCTGGTGATGATCAATGTCAGTCCCCTGGAGTAGGGCCACATGTTGCTGGTGCCTGAGCCTGCCCAGGTGCTGCCCAAGCCCCTGCTGCCAGAGCACTGTGGGCTGGAGCGGAGTCCATGCTGCTGAGCTTACACCAAGGTTTCCATGTCAGCTTCAACAGCCTGGGTGGCTTGGCCTCAGTGAACCACCTGCATTTGCATTGTTATTACCTGGCCCACAGACTACCCATAGAGGGGGTGCCAAGCAAGCACCTGGACCCTAGGGGCCTTTCCTCTATCATACTAACAGCCCAGGACCTGACTTAGAAGCCTTGGTAAGCAGGGTATGCCAAGCCATGACACCATGACTGACCATGAGATTGCACATAACTTGCTTGTGACCCGGGGAGCCCCACCTGGGAAGACCTCACCTTCCTCAGCCGTCATGGGAGTTCAAGTCATTCTCTGTGTTCAGAAGTCCAACTCTGGGATAAAGGAAAGCGGACCTTTCAATGTTGCCCTCTGTGAGTTGGCTGGGCACTTCCCTGTCAAAACTTCCCAGGACTTCACCAGTCTGATGAAGGCAGGTGCTCTGACCCTTATCCAAGACTGTCTTCCGCCTCCACCCCAGGCAGAGGAGGTCCAGGTGGCCCTGGTGGCGCAGGAGGAGCTGTAATCCTTCCCAAGGTATTTATTCTCTCACTGAGCTTAGTCCTTGTCCAGAGTCCTACCCATAAGGCTTGTGATATGACTGCTTACTCAACATGTCTCATGAAGGAAGAGATAAAAAACTGATAAGGGGTCTTTAAAAAGAGCAAAACCATGCTTGCTTCAGTAGCACATACACTACAGTTGAAACAATACAGAGAAGATTAGCATGGCCTCTACGCAAGGACACGCAAATTCGTGAAGCGTTCCATATTTTTCCAATAAAACTATTTAATAAACCAAAGAGCAAAACCTTGAAATAAACAACAAATTACCCTTAAAAAGTTATTGATTCTAACTTTGCTTACTTGCTGCTTTGCATGAAACACTTGTATTTATTATTTTTAAATCTGAGATGTCCCCTGCATCACTACCCCTGCAGTGAATGTCCTTGCAATTTATATCAAACATGTGCTTTTTTTCTATCAAAACTTAAGACTGAACAAGATGATCTAAATCAAAAGTATAGTGCCTAAAAGTTCTAATTATGCCTATCTATTTCTCTCAGGACAAATACAATGTGAGGAAATTTAAATAGTCCTGAAATGAGAAGGTAGTAGGAAAATGCTGTACAGTTATCAAACTTCAAATTTGGATCATCAGAGTTTAAAACACGGCGAATGATGTGAACCAGAAACAAACTACCAACACTATACAGGAACCTCTGGATAACATCAGGCTCAGCCTAGATGAATGCATTTATGTGAGAAAGCAAAATCTTTAAGGAAGATTGCGTGCTTATGATTACCATTTAAATATATTGGGAGATGTAAAAGAAACTGTGACTACTATAGAAATTGATGAAGTGACAAATGAAGAAACATAAGTCAAAGAAACAGAATATTACATTGCTGTTTGGTGTGATGGTGGTGTTCTAGTTCCCCCCTTCCGCCCCCACTGAGAGTTGGCTGACACCAAGAATTCATCCAGTGTAGAAAAGAGGAGACTTTTTAATATAGGATATATTCAGAAGAGAAGCCTTCGTAAATTGATATTCAGAAGTGACCAAGGATTCATGTTCTCCTGACATGAGTTGGTTTGCAGGTAACTAACAAGTTCTTTAAACTAAATGACATTTAATTTTTTCTCCCACTCTGCCAATAAATGTGATCACAAAAATGCACAGTTCTTTTTGCAAAACCACCAAAAAAACACCATCAGAATCATCTCATGCTAGTTTATAAAGCAGATCTGTCCTCCCTGTCCCTAGACACTGATTCAGTAGGGTGTGGGCCCCAGAAACATGCACTTTGGGGCATGTTTTGTTTTGTTTCATCTTATAAACATTCAACATTCATTGGCTCTGCTGTCTGAGAAACATCGTTTTCTTTTTCCGCTCTCCCCCTTACTGGCTATGTGACCTCCCACTACTCACTTAGCTTTCTGATTTCAGATCTCTCATCAAGGGCACTAAAAGCGTCAACGATGCTCATGCCATCGAGTGCTTAGTCGGGCTGTAATTATTATGATTCACCCTGCCACTGGACCAAAATAAGGAAGAACTGGACATATGTACATATCTATCATAACAGTCTCAAAGTTTTTCAGTCATGGTAATGTTTCTTCCCATTTTCAAATTAAAAGTTTCCTCTACGAGAACCTCCTGGTCAGGCACACTGTTATTCTGCCTCTCCCTTGAATTCCGTAACATCTGAAAAAGGCTTCTGGGACACACTACTCAAATGCTTCTGATCCCAACCAAGTAAATCTTGCCAAAGGCACAAAGACAGAACACATTTGCTCTACTTTTCACTTCACCAACATGTGAAGTTGAAAACTTCAAAAACAAGCATTAGTCAGATTTGACAAGAAAGCAAATCTGCCAGCCTTGCTTGGTAGACCACAAAATCTGACCAAAAGTTATTTAAGCAAAAGTGTCCGTATGTCTTATCTTTAGACTTGTTAATTATGAAGACCCTCTGCTTGTTTGACTCAAAGGTCATCAGTTAATACTAACAACCTCAGCTTTGATCATATGTCTCCTGCTGAAACCAACAAAATAAAATGCTCAGGAGTATTTTACGGGGGCTTCCTCCTCCTGTCAAGAGTTACCGTCTGGAAACCCTGTGGAGCAATTCTACTTGTCCTAAAGGGTCGCTCTGAATCGGAATGGGCAAGTGGAAGGCAGTGGGTTATCCAGAAAATCCACTCACAGAAATGATCATCGAAGATAGGCTAGTGAAAGCAAGGCGGAAAACTCCGGTGCAGGCTGTCCAATGTGAATGGACGAGGGTCCCTTACTGAGCTGCAATGACCCCTTCTCAGTATCTGTCAAGTCTCACTGGTACAAGGCACCACACAGCAAGGCCATGGGAGGGAGACAAGAGAGGGGAAGTAGCATGCAACTGGTCTCAAAACACCAAGGGAATCCTGCAAGAGATTTGTTTTTCGGCTCCTAGGTAAAGTACACGAAACCGTGCGCTTCCAGCATGGTGCAAAATCGCGTCAGAGTTAAGAGTTAAGATTTGGGGAATATAAAAATCTTTGCAAAAAGGTCATTCGGTGCATGCCTGCCCCAAATCCCGCTTTAGAGGGAGAGGAGGGTGGGAGAATGTTGGAGAGGTCCACTGGAGAAAACTGAGGGTCTGAGATGAGTTTTCAAGGTCCCAAAGGGACGGGGTAGGGGCGTTCGAGCCCGGCCCCCACCTTCACTTCCGCACCCACACCCCGGGCCGGGAGTGAAGGGGGCGGTCCGT